GTCACCCCTGCAGGTGACAACACGGGTGACAACACGGGTGACAACACGGGTGACAACATGAGGTGACAACATGAGGTGACAACACGGGTGACAACACGGGTGACAACACGGGTGACAACACGAGGTGGCAACATGAGGTGACAACACGGGTGACAACACGAGGTGACAACAGGTGACAACACGGGTGCCAACATGAGGTGACAACACGGGTGACAACATGAGCTGACAACACGACGAGGTGACAACACGGGTGACAACTGGTGACAACTGGTGACAACTGGTGAAAACGCGGGTGACAACACGGGCGACAACACGAGCGACAACATGAGGTGACAACATGACGTGGTGACAACATGAGGTGACAACATGACGGAGGTGACAACACATGGACGAGTTTGGGAAGCGAGCGCAAATTGGCACAGGTGACAGGACGGGTGACAACACGAGGTGACAACACTAGGTGACAACAGGTGACAACACGGGTGACAACATGAGGTGACAACACGAGTGACAACATGAGGTGACAACACGACGAGGTGACAACACGACGAGGTGACAACACGGGTGACAACACGAGGTGACAACACGAGGTGACAACACGGGTGACAACACCGGCTCACATCCTCATCACGGCATCTCCGCATCATCCAGTCCGAGACAATGGACTTTTCGAAGAACCGGAAATCACGAAAAACCTTGGAGGGGGTAGTGCCCGGGAGCGCCAACAAAAATCACCAAAAACACTGAAAATCGCATCAGGGCCCCTTCAGAACCAAGATATTGGGGTGACGCAATTCAGTTTACAGGGGGTTTCCCGCTCGTAAGGTATAGCCACCCGGGGGCTATCTAAAAGAACCCATCACCAGCATGCCAGCACCAGCATCATCACTCCTACCCTGGCGCATGCGACCGGGCAACCTTTGCCCAGTAATGAACCAATTTTGTTTCAAGCCGATTCAATATGACTCAATCTTGCCAAGATTTCGAGCCCTGGGTAACGAAGGCGGTGACAAGGTCGCAAACTCATCCGTTTTGCGCACTTTTTCGACCCAAAAGAGAGCGGTGACGTTGCGGTGACAAGTGGTGACAAGCTCAGCGGGATGGAACTTGCCATTCCGGGCAGAAAACGGAAATCGAGAGCAGCGTGCGTCTGGAGGAAACGGAGCGGTGACAGGTGACATCGGAAAAACTTTCAGGGATGGAGAATTTGGCTGTTTTGCAGGTCTTCGACCCAAAAACGAAAATTAATTAGGTAGAGCCAGCCAGGCTTGCCTGGAATGGCTGGGGTCGTGCCTCAAGCACTCTCCCATACAGTCTTAGCAAAGCAATGCCAGTTGCAAGCCACAGACGCGCGCTGAAGAAGACCTGGTGGGCATAGGTGGTTGGGCGGTCTGCGCAGCGCTACATCGCGTGCTTTGAGACGCTTTTCCAGACTACGCGTGGCCACATTGGGGGCGGGCACTACAGTTCACTTCTTCGACCACAGCGCTCTGTCTAGTTCAACGTGCGGACCGGCCTGTAAGGCGCATCTGCCACCCACTGCACCCACTCTGCAACATTTCCTTTCCATCTACGTGGAAACAAAGTTGAGGCCTGCCCAACGGCTGGCAATGTGGCCGGCACTTCTGGGCATGAGCCCCACTCAAGCGCCCGCAAAATTTTGGGGGACAAGTGAGATTGAAACAAAATGCCGTCACGTTCAAAAGCATGTTGCCAGCTTTTCGCCACAACGACCTCCTGAATGGCTTGGCACACCAACTCCAACCAAGCCGCGAGAGGCACTTGGCCATCACCACTTGCACTGCGACACTCAAGCCAAAGACAACGCATTTTGGAACGAAACTGCCTGAAGACATGTGTGTCCAACGGCTGGAGCAAATGTGTTGCACCTGCAGGCACCAGCACAACGCGCACCCCTTGCGCCATAGCTGTTGTCAACACTGCACGGTGGATGTGGCACGAAGCCATGTCCATGACTAGAACTATTGCCCGATCACGCACCACCTCACCCAAGCAACGCTGCAGGAGAAGAATGTACTGCTGCATGAGGACATGATTGTTCCAAGAACTTCCCTCTCTCCACAAAACAATGTTCTGGCCCACCGCTGCCTTGACCTTGACATTCTGTGCAAATTGGTGCGTGTTTCCAAGAAGGATCTGTGGCAGCCGGTCATTCAGGCTTGGGTCGTTGCAAACCGCGGCATGCGTGCCCACGCCCCAAGGTCCGGAGACCGAAAGGTCCGGAGACCCGAGGTCCGGAGACCAGAGTTGGTCCGGAGACCTGGTCCGGAGACCAAGAGGCCCGGAGACCACCAATGAAAGTGCAGAGCGTCTGCTACCTATACTTGCAGAGCCTTGTATAAGGCAGTGCAGGGTGGGTGGGTGGGTTTCAAATGAAACGTTTGGGTCAAGGCTAGGAGCAAAACGGCCATCGCGTAGTTCGATTCACAACATGCCCTAAACACAAGGGAAAAGAAACCCTAAGCGTTAAGGCATGTTGCACTGCTCCTAGCTTGAACCCAAACATGAACCCCCAAAAGAACAAAGCAAGTCCGAAGCGGCCGCAGTTCTTTTTACCGGGATTGCTGAAAGTAGCACTGCTTCCAGGGCACTGGTGCGCCTGGAACAGGAGGCGCGTTGACCCCCCCTTCAGTGTTTCAGGCAACCCCGGTATAAGCGAGCCCGCTGGGCCGCAGGCCTCATCACCCGCCCTTCAGAGTGGGGTTGTACCTGGCAGGGCAAATGTTTGCGTGGCGATGCACGCTGGGCTGTGAGCAGCCTGTTACTCAGGGTCTGCACTTTTTCCGGTCAGAGCGGCTTGATGTAAGCGGCTGGCTGACGCTGCCAGTTGTTCTGGCTGACAGGGCGACGACGGCCATTTGGTCGCAAGGCATGTCGGGATGCAAATAAGGCTGGCTAAGCAGTGACGGAGGCAGCTGCCAAATGCTCCGGGCGCCAGGGAGCTGAATGCCTCGGCCTGACATTGCTAGGCCCGCAGGGCTGAAGCGTATGCGACTTTCAGGGCGATGGCGGAATCGGGCCAACCGACCTCTGCTGAGATCGTCTGCCCAATCATTGCACCTTCCTGGAACGTGCGTCGGCTGCAGCAGCACATTGTGAGCGTGAGCCCAGAAGGCTGTTAACTGCACGAAGAGGTCGTGAACAACTTGTTAAGGCTTGCTTCCGTTGCGGAATTGTCCGTGCCTGAAGGCATGCTGAACGAGTAGTGCCCACCACCAATGTGGCTGTGGGTTGCTTGCAGTAGTGCTAACTGTGCCAGCGTCTCGAAGCATGCGATGCACCGCTGTCCAGGCTTGACAAGGCAAGGCCACACGGCTCGTATGTCCTGCATGTTCCAGGTCTCGGCAAACCAAACCACTTGGGAGGATGTGATTGCCCAGCCCCCGATCCCTACCAAGTCGTCTTCGGCACACGCATCCGCGGCAGCCAGAGCTTGCAGCTGGTGTGGCCGCGCCAAGGGCTGAACAGGCGAGTGCTGAAAGCACAACGCCAGCCAAGTAAGGCATTGTTGGCTTGACTTGGAAAGGCTAGTGTATGGGTTATTGGGGTCCGCGATGCGCACCCATGTGGGTTTGCTGGTGCCAGGCACTTGCGGGATGTCCTGAGGGCAGTGCGTGGTGCGACCCGAAATTTCCAAGATTTTGGAGCCCACTGTGATCCACAAGCCCGGAAGGCTATGGCTAGTTTTGAGATCCTTGTTCATTATTTCAGGTTCGGCATCCTTACGTGGGAAGGAATGCAGCACAGCATTCTCTTTCCCACAAACCCACGTTACAAAACGCCACTTCTTGCGCCCTCCTGAAAGGAAGGTCTCAAAGCGGTGGGGAATGGGAACACCATCCCGGTTTGACCCGAAGTCAAACGTCATTTAAAAAGGCTTGAGCCAAACTCAAACGTCATTTGGTTAAGGCCTCATTTGGTAAAGGCCAGCACGGCCAAATGAAATCACAAACAAACGGCATTTGAGCGGTCAGCGAATCGGGCGATGCCCATAACATGCATCACATGTCTGAATGGATCAAACAAATCGACGACTCAAACGGCAAACCACTCGGCCTTTTCCAACGCTGATGCAGTGGGGAATCACGGTGCGTCCCCGCACGTTAGTTGAAGGGCTTTTGTCATTCCACACAAAAAAAGGAAAGACAAAACCCAAGCTCATGCTCGGTCCGTGTGGCTCATGCCACGTGGCTCATGCCACTTGCCCCTTCTTAGGGTGGGTTGGGTGGGACGAAAACAAAATGTGACACTGCTCTTTTGGCAAGTGTCTTTCCCACCGCCCTCCCAGCCACATGGCTGCTATTCGGAAATTCACATCAATTTCATCCAAGCATGCCATGTGCATGGTTGACAAGAAATAAGTGTTCGTTCACTCATGTGCCTACCAAGCGAGCCACTTATTGGTTTCAACCAAATCAACCAAAGGAGGTAACAACGTCACGTGGGAAACATGGGATGCGAACATGAAATAAAACGTCAGCTTCCTACGGAAGAGTCCTTGCTTATTTCAGGTTCGGCATCCTTACGTGGGAAGGAATGCAGCACAGCATTCTCTTTCCCACAAACCCACGTTACAAAACGCCACTTCTTGCGCCCTCCTGAAAGGAAGGTCTCAAAGCGGTGGGGAATGGGAACACCATCCCGGTTTGACCCGAAGTCAAACGTCATTTAAAGAGGCTTGAGCCAAACTCACGCGTCATTTGGTTAAGGCCTCATTTGGTAAAGGCCAGCACGGCCAAATGAAATCACAAACAAACGGCATTTGAGCGGTCAGCGAATCGGGCGATGCCCATAACATGCATCACATGTCTGAATGGATCAAACAAATCGACGACTCAAACGGCAAACCACTCGGCCTTTTCCAACGCTGATGCAGTGGGGAATCACGGTGCGTCCCCGCACGTTAGTTGAAGGGCTTTTGTCATTCCACACAAAAAAAAGGAAAGACAAAACCCAAGCTCATGCTCGGTCCGTGTGGCTCATGCCACGTGGCTCATGCCACTTGCCCCTTCTTCTCCCCCCTGCAAATTTGGCATAGTGGCTTCCGAAATGAGATTGCTGATGTCCAGGTGCATCCTCTCACCAAGACCCTTGAGGTCGTCGTCGCCCCGGGACGGCTTGTCAGCTATGTTCGAAGCGGTGTTCACCCTTTCGAACCAGCACACCACGTTTCCTGCGTCCAAGATTGCCAACGTGTTGTCGACCAGTCTCTGCCCCGATGGGTTAACTGATTTTCCAGATATCATCGAAGCGAGGGACCCATTGTTGTCAGTGAACACGATGACGTGGCATGACTCAAGGGTTGGAATCCAAAGTTTCAAACCGCAGAACATGGCAAAACACTCAAGCTCATAGATTGGGTTCTTGCTTCCCTCACGCGCAAGTGCCATTGCTTGCTTGAGATCCATCTGCTCGCTGAAAACTGACACTGGCCCGAAGTCTGGCAGGATCAAAACACCTCCGATTCCGCCAGGCATGTCACTTCCACCTTCGAAACTTGCATCCACATAGATGTGCCAAGTTTGATGGACACGTGTCGTGATTCGCTTAGGCTTATTTTCACAAAGGCCCATCTTCAATCCTTTGGGAGCTTGCTCGAGACTCGCATCGACCTCCTTCTTCCTGCTAATTATGTGCTCCGAGAGGACTCGCAGGCGCAGCCGTCCTGAATGGCCAAAAATCTGATTTCCCGCGAAGATTAGCCTTCCGCGAAGGCTCGCACCATCTCCCGCTGACAGCACCCCCGTCACCAAGACAGTGTCAATGGCTCCGCACAATTCTCGTTTTCGCTTTTCAGTATTTTCGACAAGCAAGATCCCAAGCTTCGTTTCTGCAAGGTTGAATTTGAGGCCCAAGGCGACAGCAGCGGAATCAAAAGATGACTCCTTTTCAGCGGAAACTTCCCATCCCAAGAGCTGGAAGTAGAGTTCAACCATTCGTTCGGTTTGACTGCAAAGCAGAGGCTCTTCGACACAAATGTAGTCGTCAAAATACACCGACCAGTGTACAAGGAAGGTCGCCACTGCTATGTGCCAAATGCCCGATGCCACTCGGCAAAATGCGTGCACAGACGCTCTAGCCGCACGGCATTACAAACTGCCCGAAGATTTTTGTCTGCTTTGCATCAGGGTCGTAAACACACAAATAGCTGTCACGAAGGGAGTCCTCGCTCGCGGGCAGCTGTTTGTATGCCTTCCTGAGATCCCAGGCCTTGGCGGTCAAAGCTCTTCGCGGGTTGTCCGCACCCAACTCATGAAGTCTGTAAGAAATGGCCGCCGCGACACAATCTGCTGTGTGTATAGTGATTGTATCTTCGCTCGAAGCTGTGGCATTCAAACATGACTCCTTGAAGTTGTCAATGGGTCTGCATTTTCCTCCCTGCCACACCCCAAACCGTCTGGTGACGCTTGAGGTGTTGCTCAAAGAAGATTCGGCCACTGGACCCCAAAGCCATCCTTTGCCCAGTTCCTCCTCCGTGCTGTCGTACACTGCTTTGTCCAACTCAGGATCACCCGAGGATTGGGCACTTCTCAGGATGCCTTTCCTAACCACAGGCGCCATCTTCCGCAAATCACTTACTGCAAGAGTGGCACCAGTCAGTTTCTTTCTGAATGCTGGGGATGCAGGAATGTGCCCACCAGTGGAAAAACCCTGACCCATCTCACTTGCAATTTTGGCATCTGAGTATTTGCTCGCCACCAGCATCTCCTTGAAAAGACACAATCTTTTGTGGCGAAGTATCTTCTGGCAATGCTCCGGCAGCTTTTCCCGCGCAAGAGTTTCTGCTTCTTCAAGGTCACGAGCCCTGCCAACCCGCCGCCTCATTTGTTCGACACGGTGCGCACTGACCCTAGCAGCTCCCTTCTTGGCAATTGTGGTCACGGCTTCACGCAAGACACTGGGCACTCCATTTATCAGGTCCTTAGGGTGCTTAGCCGACGAAGCAACCTGAACAAACTCATCTGGTGTCCACGGAATTCCGAAATTAACAATAGCCACATTATTTAGGTCACTAGCGCATCCAGTTTGCACGGGCGGTGAGCTGTCGCTGGTGGAAGCTTCGTCCTGCCTAATTCCCCCACTTTCACAAGCACAAAGCCTACGGGAACCTACAGGTAAAGTGGTGATTGGGGGCACGGACTTAACGGACGGCGGCAAGGGGAAGTCCTGCTCAAGCTTGCCTGTAGGAATCTGGTGGCCGGGTCCCTCTAACTGCACTACAGAACGGAACTCTGGCACAAGTGGAGGGACTTTCCGGCCGCGAGGCTGCAGTCCGAGCGCCACTCTGGCACTAATATGCGGGTTACTTTCGGACATCTCTGCAACGCATGAGACAGGCTTAACTGCCCCAAACTCTACAAGTTGTCTGCAAATCAAGCTCGCCCACACTTGGCACAGAGGGGTGGGGTACGCGGTCTCCTCGGATGTGGCCCATCTGTTGCCACTGCGTCCCCACGGCAAATGAACATGAGTTTGGCTTTCTCCTGGACAAGTGAAACTTAAATTGCACAGTTCAGGCACACTGTGATGCAACTGGGTCAGTTTGGCTCTCTGACCGCCATAGCAGCAATGATGGAAAAAGGTGCGCCACAGGGGCAGCTTGTCAGTGCACTTACGGTAGTGGCTGGTCAACCACATGAATGATCTGCCTGGATTTTCAACACTGGCCATCGGTCCCGCGCTTCAATCCGCTTTTCACCATCTCACTCAGGCGCAGCCATGCACGCTGGTCTGCTTTAAGGATCTGCACCACATCCACCTGTCGGTATCCCGGCGGGGATGGCTCTTGCAGGCACCTCATCAGCATCGATTGGTACTTCTCCACTACATCAAAACTGGCTGCACCCACCAAGTCCAAGCACAACGCTCGTCTGGTGAGCGCCTGCAACAACAGAAGCTCTGATGCGTTGCTCTTGACAGCCAAGTTCTGGTTGTTGGTCACAAGTATTTCCTGCTTCTTCTTCTCATTCAGCAACTCAAAGCGCCTGGACGGGAAACGATTTGGATGCAAATACGTGACCGCATTGTCTTGGAGCATTTTCATCACCGTGTCATATCCGGCGTACCCGCATTCCAGTTCGCCCTCTAGGCTGAGACCCCGTAGTCGCTCAGCTTGGCGCTTCATGCGGTCCTCGCGCTCTGCTGGTGCCAGTTCGGTTGCACCTTCGTCAGATTTGCCTTCCACCGTCGCCTTGATCTGAGCAATCATCAAAGTTTGACTCTCGAATACCAGGCGTCTCAAAGCGCTGATTTCTCCAATCGTGCAACTCCGCTCTCCTCCATCAGTCAGCCCCTCAAGGTCGGCCTGACTCGGTGTATCTCCAGGTTGCCCTACGCTGTAGGCGATCTTCGCCATCGTGTCAACTCCCCGATTGATGAGACGCTCGATTGCGTCACCAGGCAATCCAACTGTTCCAGCATGCTCTCTGAAAACTGCCTCACTGTCAACGAGGCTTACCATTGTCACGCCTAATGCACCTAGTCAAAAGGTCAGTGACAAATGCCGCACAAGTCCAAGGGTTGCCTCAGGTTATTGGGGTGGCATCGATGCGTTGAAAGAAAGATACAATCTCAGGTCAACCTGATTTTACGAAGAGCTTGGGAGTTCCATCAAAAGTTTGCTCATGCTCCAGTTCAGCTTGAGCCTCTGGTAGTCGGGCACACCCTCGTCTCGCTCATGCGGACGTGGTTCTGCTCATGCAGATTTGTGCTCATGCACATCGAAAGCCCAACTCACCAGCCCCCCAAACTCTCCCCTCCATTAGTTGAACCAACCGACCACTTAAAAAGGGGGGGGCAAAAGGGAAGAAACAACGAAGGCATCCGTGTTTCCCACAAAACTCATCCACACTCTGTGGATGAGGTTCGGACCTCATGGCCCTTACCTTGGGTGCCCATGCACCCATGGGGCTCATGCCCCCGCAGGCTCATGCCAGAGGTTCTTTACACTCGCCATCAAAAGCTTCATCCAGCATGTTCACACATTGGTCAATCGTCCTGACAGCCTTCCCACTGTCGCACTGCTTGCACCTCCAGCTTGAAGAGAAAATTCGACTATTGAACAGTATTGCGTCGCCCGTCAATTGCCGACCGCACACGAAGCTCGTCACCTTGCTGTCGGTCTTTCCTCCATCAGGCAATAAATGCAAAGCCCTCCTTGTTCGCTTGTTCACATATATGGTGCATTGCGGCTTCCACTCGAAAACCTGTTCAGTGCGACTCGGCTCAATCACCTCGTCCGGTTCAGACTCCTCACTCGAGGAACTTGAAGATGACGATCCACTTTCCTCGCCTGAACTCGCAGGGGATGCCTCGACTGTTCCGGGTTCCTCTGCATCTCCAATCTCGGCTTCCTCATCTCGCATCTCAGAATTGGAAATATTCGCAGGTTCTTCCAGAGGTTCTTCTGGGTACATTCCGCTTCGCGTGGCATCCGGCAAATACGTTCCATCACGAATGGATTTCAGGACAATTGCAAATTCTCGAAGAGGGCCGCTCTGCATGTCTCGTGAATATGTTTCCAGCGTCCCCAACTTCTTCAAGCTATGATGTCCAAGAATCAAGCGCGTTGTCTCGCTCACTCCCGCTTTAGCCATCCATGCAAGTGTAGTTGCTTTCATGCCATGTGAAGTCAATCCTTGGCTCACTGGTTTTCCGGTCGCCACCTCAATCAGGCCGACCAGCCACCTTGAGACTTCCTTCGCTGACGTTGGCCTGTCGGTCCACCTCCCTGATTCATCAACTGCAGGGAGAAGGGGGCCACGTCTGGTTTTGTCCAAAGGCAAACCAACTGCTTTTGCAATTTCCACAAATGCAGCCAACCAGCTTTGAGTGCGCAAACCATGTGAAGGCGCAACCAAAATGAGGGCCTGGCCAGATTTTCCGTGGTAGCGCTTGTTCTTGTGCTCCATGGTTCTGACCTCCAGGAATCCTGATCCCTCAAACAAGTCGATCTCCACACTGCAAACTGCACGGCAATCGCTCACTCTCGCACGAGAATAAATCATGAAAAGGAAAATGCCAGCTGCATACAAATCTTGATTTGATGCACCTTTGTTGATGACCAACTTCTCAAGTGCCAGAACTTCTTCGGCCGTGAGCACGCGAGATTGCTTCCGCTCTCCTTTTGCGGCTTCTGCACCCCTCACTGCGCCCCTCATCCATGGGCTATCAATGATTGCATCACAACCGTCGAAGCCCAAGACATGTTTGAGAAAACGAAAAGTCTCCATGGCTTCAGAAATGGCACTGTACCTTTCTTCCTCGCAAAGTTCTCCGACATATCCCATGGCAAAATTCAAGCTCAACGGGAAAATTGACAGCTCAGCATCTTTGCCCCATTTGATCCATCTCTTGACGCAAGATGCCCTCTTTGCCAGGGTAGTTGGACTTTTGCCCGCGAGCACTTGTGCAACGATTTTCAAACCCGCTGCTTCTGAGTCGCAGACCTCCAACAGTCTCCCCGTCGAAGAGGCATCAAAATCAATGGATAAAATGCACATCCACCTGCGGGCCACTTCCTCCATGTCAGGGGTTGGTTTGCGCCAGCTTCTGCGCATTTGCATTGCATCTGAGAAAATACAAGTCTCACATCCACCAACCTGTGATCCAGAGGCTCCGGCTGTGTCCTCGATGACGGTCTCCACAGATGAACCTCCATGAACGCGTTCAACGGGTCGCGGATCAAACTGAGCAAAAGCAAACCCCCAAGAACCAAAAACAGGTTTAAAGGGGGGGTTCTCCCAAGGCAACTGCAACTGCCGGCACTGTGAGGAGCTCCACTTTGCATCCAATATAGACCCTCGCAAATTTGTCAAAACCCGCTGCTCGCAAGTCGGTTTTGCTTTGTGCAACGAAGGTGTGCTGCAGGATTTGTGGTTCACACCAAAAGGGGCTGCGGAAGACAGAAACGGTGTCGAGTCAAGGTCATCAGGTAACGGTTTACCAGTTCCAGCTGTTCCTGTATCGGAAAAACCGTCAGCACGCGGAAAACCGTTCCCCTCGCCGTTATCCCCCTCAGATGTTGCAAAAACCTCACCATCACAAACTGCTCGGCTCTGAACACTCGCTCCGCCATCTGGAACGGGAAGAAGAGCATCCTTCCCATCCATACCCCCTCGTCCACCAGAAGGATGCGACGCCATCAACGCAAGCACCGCGAAAGTCTGCCCAAAAGACTGCGCTGATACTCTTGCAAGAATACACCAGTCAAATGGAATAAACGCTGAAGCTTCCGCAAATGCAAAAGCGCGTGTATCAACCTCCGCCACTTGCGCACGGCGTGAACACGGCGCCTAGACGGGCAAGTACCCATAGCACGAAAACAAAATGCGACACTGCTCTTTTGGCAAGTGTCTTTCCCACCGCCCTCCCAGCCACATGGCTGCTATTCGGAAATTCACATCAATTTCATCCAAGCATGCCATGTGCATGGTTAAGTGTTCGTTCACTCATGTGCCTACCAAGCGAGCCACTTATTGGTTTCAACCAAATCAACCAAAGGAGGTAACAACGTCACGTGGGAAACATGGGATGCGAACATGAAATAAAACGTCATCTTCCTACGGAAGAGTCCTTGCAGGATGCTCTGAAGGCTGACCACATTTGAGGCGGTATCGAGCGCATCGAGCCTGGTGGGCTGTTGAGGTCCGAGTATAGTGGCGCTAGCCAGGATCTCAGATGTAGGGCAATGCTGGTGGCCCAAATGAGCAGGCCTATGCACTGCTCGAGTGTTTTGCGGGGTACAGCAGTGCTTTGATCAAGGCGTCCAGCTTGGTCAGCTTAGCGGACACGAGCTGAATGGTGTCGTGGGAGAAGTTGATCTCCCAACCGCACCAAACAAGGCTGTCCTGGAATTGCGCCTTTTTCCATGAAATGGGCGCTGCAATGGCGCAAAAGAAAAGCACCACCAAGGCAAACATATCTGGTGCGCTATCCCGGAAGAGTGCACACAGAAGGTCGTCCACAAAAAGGAAGGCTTTGTGGGGCTTCCAGGCCAGCAACCCATGCACCTGGCGAAGCAAGAATGCGCCAGTGCGCTGCCACCAGAATGCCGAGAAACGGCCCCCAAAATGGCACCCTCTGTAATGATAGAGCTTTCCTTGAAAGGCGAAGAGTAGAAGGCCATGCTCTTCAGGGCGGACCTGCACCTGTTTGTGTGCGGCTTTGAAGTCAATGCTGGCGCCCACGAAGGCGCCTGGAGTGTCCTCTGGCGTGGACAGCGCCAGGTCCGATGCCATTGGCAAGCTCAGGCGCTCTGGTAGATGGCATCTGGTATTCACTTGGCACACGGTGCTGTCCAGGACAAGGTGCGGCTCTTTCCCTTCTGCAAGAACGACATTTAACTTGCCTACGGCAATGCCTAAGGGCCATTTTTCCCGCGCTTCGGCGATGCTAAGGCGTTGTTTTGGAAAGTGGCCCCCTTCTTTGGGGGTTGTTTTTGGACCCTCAGATTGGTGGCCCGCGTGCCCGGGCGTTTTGAAAGTGCTTTGAGGCTGGGGTTGCTGCCTTGGCGCAGCGTGCCTTGGCAATTGAGGCTTGACCAGCGGCACCTCGTTCATCGACCCCGAGTCTATCAAGATCGCCTTTAGAGTCAGAAACACGGACGCCACCAACCCGCTTGCCACTCCGAACCCAGAGGATCCAGGTCCAGCGCTGCGACGACATTAACTACTACACCTGCTGAAGGGCCCGAGCACAAGCAGAACAAGGCTGCGGAGGGCTTCGACAAGGTGAACGACCCCCGGAGGCGGGAAGAACCGTCTCGGACCTTGGGATAAAAGCCCTCTAGGTAGGCGGTCACCGGGCTGGAGGCGGGAAGATCCGTCTTGGAGACCCTTCGGCTCAAGGAAGAAAAAAGAATTCCCAAGGGCACTCGCCTGCAAAAATGATCCGCGCCCGGGTGAATCGAGCCCGCGGTCTGTAAGAGCCTCTTCCAATTGAGCTATGGATCCTTACTAGTCAAAGCACGGAGACTCCTGTGCCAGAGAGCGTCACCAGCTGATAGGCTATCAGGTGGACGAACACATCCGTCATCGCGCCGTCGAGCGCCTTGAAAGTGAACCGAGCCAGGTCGCCCGAACGAGTGCTGACGCCACTGAGGGGCATCTTGGGCACTCGCTCTGTCGGGAAGCCCGCGATGAAGCTGTGGCGCAGGTAGCCAGCGCGGTCGATGTCGATGTTGCGCACCGTGTCATCGTGGGTCCCCGCAAGGACCGAGAGGAAGTGGAAGTGCTCTGAGGCTCCCTTCATAGGGTTGTGCGGGCACTGCAGGCTGCCCAGCTCCAGGAGACTGTCTTCCTGCTGGCGCTCCGATGGGGGCCACGTCCTGCCCGGATTGGCCAGCAGGTGGATCTT